CGGCTTTCTGTGTGACAATAAGGCCGAATACAGAATAGACAGGACGGTTTATGTTGTTTAGCAGCACGTAGGCCTGCTCGATTTGATTTGGGACACTTTGTTAACGGGGTTTCGTTTTTGTCGTCGTCGACAGGTTTGTCATATGCACAGTACCAGGCGAATACATGACAAGGTAAGCACTGTCGTTGTGTTTGGCCAGTGTTTAAGAGTAGGGTGGTTGGTAACAAGGCGGTTTCTTGTTGGTAGATGCACCTTGGTCTGGAGGAAGACGGTGATTTCGAGGAGGCCAAGAAAGAACTAGAGACATGGAAGGTAAGAGGCCAAGTTCGTCATACAGTGCGGCCAAGAGAGACGCCATTCACTTTTCACTTGGTGAAGTTAGCCGCCCTTGTATTCTGAATTAGTGATGTGTGGTTCACGAACGATTCGTTCATTTTGAACGAATCGTTCCCATGACTCGAGAACATCGGGTCGTCTCGGGGAGTGATTCGTTCATTTTGACAGGGCATAAGATTAGTACACCTTCGGAGTCCTCGGGTTCGAGTCGTTCGTTTTTGTAACGTGACTGCTTTGTTGGACACAGAAATTAGTTAATTTTCAACCGTCCTTACAGTTTTTTTGTACTCTTACAGTTACGCGATGCATCGATTTTTATTATAAAATAGCTTTTTATTTTCCACGAACTATAATTTTGTGAATATCCGCCAATATGGTTCTTTTCCATAACACTGAATGTTTTAATAAAGAGTTGGTTAATGCTTTAAATTTCATTAGGGAAAATCTTTCTGTATACTATACAGAAGATGGCACGGCTTAGCTTAGCTTAGCTTAGCTTAGTTTAGCTTAGGATGTTAGTGCCAAAAGACCAAATGAATTTGACCCAAAATATCCGGAGGTGAGGTGATGAAGTAACAGACTGCATAGCCTCAAGACACAGGTACGATATGTGTGTTTGTGTGTCTTATAATAAAATTGTATAAATGTTAAATTCAGATTAAGAGGAAACTCTTTTCACTGGACTATTTCACATCTGAATGATACACCTCGAAATGTGACCCAGAAAATATCAGGGCATTCTGATGTGTACTTGAAAAATCAAAACCCCCTAAAATATTTTGGACGCTATGTTGATTCTAAATTCAGAATCATATTAAAATGAAACTTTGTTTTCATAGGACCATTTCACATCAGGTTGATGGCAGACAACCTCAGAATGTGACCTAGAAATGATCAGGTCGTTGTCATATAGAATTTCAAAATTAAAGCCCTCTAAAATGTCATATGGACACAATACTTATTATAAGGTCAAATTTGTATATCTAGGAAACTTTCTGTTTTCACAGGACCATTATACATCAGGATAGAAGGCCACTTCAGAATGTACCACATGAACTATCAGGGCATTCTGATGTAGCATTTCAAAATTAAAGCCCCTGAAAAAATCATATAAACATTATATTAATTATAAGTACAGATTGATATTGGAAGCACACTTTCTGTTTTTACAGACTAATAATTTCACATCAAAATGATGTAGAGGTTAGGCTGGTGCAGTCTCACCATCTGGGAGCTGAACCCATTCAAAACAGTGGAGATGACATTAGACTTCAGGAATAACAGTCCACCACCTTTTCCACCTCACTCCCTACATTATCATTTGGTGAATCTCATTGCCCCTAATTGTATCCGGTTTTCTCTCAGTTGCATATTGTCCTGAATTTTAGCCCTGGCCACTGTTGGACTCAACCGTCCTGCATGTTCGTTTCTGAGGAAGAGTCAAAGTCAGAACAACTAGAACAGAACAAGATAATTATTACAGTGTTAAAGAAAAGCAATTACAGAGCACTCTGGGTTCCAACTATTCTGAAGCCCTTTCCAAACAACACAGGTGTGGCTCGGTTTTTCTTCAGAAAAGAGGAGCCCCTATCCTTCCTGAACCCAGTAATTAATACAATTTTGAAGTGTCTGATGTGGGTTGATCTGGTGCCTCTTGTGCTGTTCCATTGGTCCTTCAGTCCGTCCGTCCTCCAACATCCTCTCTGCTCCAATCGTCGAGGACAGCGCCCTAGGAAGGGGAAGAATACTTATACTACCTTAATTCCTACATACACACTCACTTCTTCCTTTGTTTCCAACTACCTGCTCCATATTAGGCATTGCTTTCTGCTTCACTAATTAAAACTGTCCTGCCTGTGTGTGTGTGTGTGTGTGTGTGTGTGTGTGTGTGTGTGTGTGTGCATAATGTTCCTACCTTTGAAGCTTTCTCCTCCACAAGCCTCCAGATCTAATCTCTGTTTAACTAACCTTGGAGACCCAGTGAACCGTAACTCCCCTGGCTCCACTAACCCAGTGGTGATAATAAATTCACTGTGAACTCTCTTAGCCGGAGCTGTAAATCTAATGAGATTCAGTAATTTAGTGGACAAGACCCTATAATGTTGAACAGTGCTTCAGTGACTAACACAGTAAATATTAACCAGTGGTTCAGTGAACACATAGGGTGATATGTAGCTATGTAAACATAACTGTGACATATAAGTATGTAAACTTATGTATTCTAAAATAAAATCTTAACTATTCCTTTTCTAATATGATAGAATAGTCATACACAAACAAAGTGAACACACAGGTTAAATAAGCAACAATCATGGTGTCAATCTTCTACTGAATAAGCACTTAATTCAATCAAATATTAGAACTAATGCTAGAGTATAACTTTGTTAATAATTTTACTCAACACCACAGAACATGCAAGAAACAGATGCAAGGCGAAACTGCATGGCGAGGGGAAATGAGGCAAAATGCTGTAACTGACACGAGACATCCTTACCTCTGAAACTTGATGTGAATTTTCCAAATTACAAACTGATTTCCAAAAAAGCAGCATGTCAGTCTGTAATAGACTTCCATAAAGGAAGCACATGTGTGTCCTTGATTATAGCTTCTCCAGGCATCCTCAGTCTTCTCGTGCCTCGGTCCTTGTCCCCAGAGCAGAAATAAAAGCTTTGGGATGTCCTTTGTCACGGCGGACCAGAACAACTTCCGGGTGGAGTGAGGATCAAGGACTGAGGAGCAATAACATAAGGGAATTGGGAATCACCTATTGTGTCAGCTGTGAAGTTCTTCAGGTTGCTGGGATGCAATACCTCTTGTGACCTAAAGTGGAAGACTCATGATCCATCTCTGACTTCCTGTTTGATGCTTTTATTTTTTGAAGACTTCCTATCTTGCACCATGTCACCTGCCCCAGTGTTAGGGTTAGGGTTAGTTGGTGGTTCAGCTCTGTGAGAGTCTCTGTGACTCTCATGAGAGTTTCAGAGCTGACCGACAGTTGACTGACAGAATCCTTAGTCGGGTACAGCCCTATAAATCGTGATATGTTTGCTTCCATTTGAACTTTTGCAGTCAGTGTCGGTCTATATATAAAAAAAACAACTTCTGGGCTACTGTTTGCATATTTCGGATCATTGTTCCGCTGCACAGTGTGTTCACAGTACTTTTCTCTTTTACCTCCTGTTTTATTTGTCCAGGTTGAGACATCTGTCTTTGAGATTTCTGCTTCCACATTAGTGGAATTTAGTTTGTGGTGTTCACAGCATTAAGAAAATTCAAAAGCAACATCTCTATGTAGAAATATGTCGTGTTAATGTGGTAATCCATCATTGTAATCTGGAATTACTTTATTCTGTAAGAAATAGTCACCATACAAATTGCCAACAGGTTTTCTTTCTGAACTCTTCCTGGTTTATTTTTGAAGGCTAAAACAGAGAAAGCTGATGATGCAAAATCGAGGCTGATAGTGGAAAAATTGGAGGAAGATGAAGCCAAGGAGAAGGCCAAGCAGGAGATGATGGCTTTGGTCCAAAAGCAAGAGGAGTGTCGTAAGGAATTCTCTCAGAGCCTGATTGCAGTGAAGGTAGAGTTTCTGTCATTTAATTACATCTACAAGCTCCTCGGTAGAAATGGAATGGGAAAGAATTCATTTCTGGATTTTTCTCACTTTTTCACATAGGATAAAATCCAGGAGCTTGCTAATCACAAGCAACATTTACTGGACAAACTGAAGAGATGTCAGGCTGAACTAGATGATAAGAGGGCTGAATCCACCAAACTGATGCAGAAGTTTAAGGTGAGAGTCCTCAGAACTGCCAATTGGCTCAAATTCTTCTTCCCTAACTAAACCAGACTGTCAGTGCATCTATTTCAGTTTACTGATTTGGAACCTACAATACACTGTCTTAATAATATTATAATACTTTGGTATATCAAACATTAACACCATTATTGGGCTGTCCAGATCTTTGCCCAGATTCCAGACACAGAGGTGAAGTTCAGCACTCAACACAAAGAGGAGAGTGATGATGACGGTCAGCCAATCAGAGGAGTGTTCACCATCACTCAGAAAGCTTCAGTGCTTTTGCAGGGCGGGCAGGCACTCATCACCTTTGAGGAGGAGAAAGGTACATGATTTCAGCTGCTGTACTCTGTGATAGACTGTAATACGAACTGCAGTTCACTTCATCTTCACCTGCTTTTCACTTCTATCTCAATATTACTAAAACCAATAGGAGTGAGTCTGCGGGACTGACTGGCTGTGACTGTCACTGACCCAGATGTTGGGAAGGTTACCTTTGAAATGTAATAGGTTACCTTATTAAAAAGGTAATGAGTAATGTGTCGACTTTCGGCTTTTTCCCATTTAGGGGTCGCCACAGCTAGTCGTCATATTAACAACTCGCATGTTGACATTTGGCACGTGTTTTAGGCCGGATGCCCTTCCTGATGCAACCCTGATTCGAACCTGGGCCGCAGCGGTGAAAGCGCTGCGCCTTAATCACTAGCCTATACACACACACACACACAATCAATTTAATTAGTTCAGTAATCTTACTTATTACATTGGATTGCTTTTTTAACAAATGTTTTAAAGTGGACAATAAGCTGAAAAGTGATAAATATATGGGATAATAATAATAATCACCTTTATTGGCAAAGTACGTTATACACACAAGGAATTTGTTTCCGGTACAGAACCAATGGCAGCCATCTGCAGCGCCACCTCAACCGATGGCTAACCATGGGGGGCAACAGGGGGGTTCAGTGTCTTGCCCAAGGACACTTTGACATGTGGACTGGAGGCACCAAGATTCGAACCTTCAACCTTCTGGTTGGGAGATGACTGCTCCACCCACCACACTGTCGCCTCCCCCTGTGTAGTGTATATGTAGTATACCCCCCACCACCAGCAGCAGCACAGGCCTATAGCAGCATCACTAAGGGAAGGCTCAGGGCCACCTGATCCAGCCCTAACTATAAGCTTTATAAAGAAGGAAAGTCTTAAGTCTAGTCTTAAAGGTAGAGAGGGTGTCTACCTCCAGAACCAGCTATTAAAAATAAGTATATATGTTTTTATGTTAGTTTGTCCAGTTACCTTTGAGCTTCTGAAAACGGGGGACCATGTATAAAAATGACTATAATTCCGAAACAGTTAATGCAATATTTTTGTGAAACTGCTTAAATTAAAGGGGCAGTCTGCACGTCGAAAACATATTGACTGCTTGAGTTCAGATTCATTGTGGTGTTGTACAAAGGCAAAATTTAAAAGTTGGGTTCTTGTCCAAATACTTACTAGATGTGTCAACTCAACATGACTATCACCTTCTAATAAGAAAGTTTGTGTAAAGGGTTTATACGTTATAACTAATAGTTTCATTAGTGTTTAATTAATCACATCTCTGTCATGTTCTCTGTCCTCCAGTGGCCTCTCAGATCCTGAAGATTGCCAAGTGCTCTGTGTCCTGTGATAACATGTGTCTGGATGTGAAACCAAGAAGAATAACCATGGATCCTGCTGTCAAGTTTGAGGTACATTCTGATACAGTTAGGTTGGTTTTCAGACTGTGGCAAGTTGTGCTTCCCAACGGTGCGAATTACATTATGCAGCTTGGGGGACTTCTTTTTGCCCGGGAGGGTGGGGTCACACTTTGGTGCATAAAATCCTATAACACACAAAAGCAGCTCAAGAGCCATGGAAAATAACAAATATCCTGGCTGCTGCTGGCACTCACTATTTAGTTACAGTTTCTTCACATGGTCACGTTTTACTAAAATACACCTCCATTACTACCACGGGATATATGCTGTGTCTGTTCTTGTATTTTATGATGATTTGATCTCAATAAAAGCTGCTGTAAGTGTAGATAAAGTGGGCAATGTGCACTCCTGTGGACTGCAGTCTGTTTCTGGTGGACGATCATTGTTGATACAAGACCATAAATGTAGTGATAACTTATGTAACTACACTCAAAAATACTGATAGTTCTGTAGTGAACGTATTTGGTTATTCGATTGTATTCCAATGTAACATGGCATTAATTCTTGAATGAATGGAGCACTGCATTTTCCTACACTACAGCAGCAGATGAAGGTGGAGAAGGGAGTATGGTGGAGGCACAGTGAGCACTGCCGTCACATCAGTGGCTCAAGTTCGGTTTTGAATTCTGCTCTGTTTAATTTGAAGCCACTTTTAAGTTTTGCTTTCTCTTAACCAAGCGCTGTGAGTCAACAACATAATAAAACTTGTTAAACGCCGTCTATGAGCAGCAGCTCCAGAGCTCATTCAGTTCAGCAGCCTCTCTCTCATCAGTGAGCTGGGTTTTGTCGCTTGCAGCTGCACTGGTCATCGTATTGTGTTTGAGAGAAATGTACAGCAGGCTAGTTCAGACTTTATCTCTGGGTGCATTCCTCAGATATGTTTGTATTTTCATTGCTTCAGTGTTTGATTGTTTGTTGTGTCTTGTTGCTTTTCTTCTTTTGTCTCTCCTCTATCCACTCACCCCAACCGGTCGAGGCAGAAGGCCGCCCACCAAGAGCCGGGGTCTGTCGGAGGTTTCTTCTGTTAAAGGGAGTTTTTCCTCCCCACTGTCGGGATTTGTTGGATGTTTCCCAATAATAATGAGAATAATGAGAAGAATAGTCGGGTCTAGACCTTACTTTGTAAAGTGTCCTGGGACGCCTCAGTGATAGGAGATCCGTTCCTCTGTAGATATAAACGGCTCATTCTCAGCTAAAGAACATGCAACAGTTCTTATTTTCTGGTGATTATACATGAATGAAAATCTTATTTAGTGGTACTCGGTTCATATCATCTTGTTAAGGCTGGATTCTCTGGACTGTTCCACAGTAACCACACTATTCTGTTAAGCACTTTTTGTGCTCACTCCATTGTAATAAGCGTGTGCTGTCATCACTGTAGGTCCACCTCGATGTATCCAGAAAGGAGCTCAAGGTTTCTAATGTCCCCTCTTCCATGCCAGAGGTCAGAATGAAGGATAGACTAGAACTCAGTTTCTCCAAGCCCAGCAGAGGAGGAGGAGAGGTGGAACGTGTGGACTATGATAAGAACACTGGGACAGGACAAATCACCTTTCTCCATCCTGGAGGTACAACTATGTGGGTCACATTTACTAAGACAGTGCTGCAGTGCACATGTGCCACAATCTATGTGTATTGGGCTCCTGATGTAGACAGATGCTGGACAGATCCTGGGATTGGAGCTCCAGACTGAAATCTGCTGACTATGACGGTCTTACTCAAACTATAATCAGAAGACAGATTATTCAGATCTAAATGAGACCCAGTATACTCAGCATCAGTGTGCTAGTGGTGTTATAATGCTAAAGTGTGTGTGCATGTTCTGCAGTTGCACAGAGCCTGGGCCAGCAAGGGAGATACCGTGTGGATCTTGACTCTGAAGTGAACGTACAGGTTGGACCCATTTACAAATACCAGCTGCGCAAGTTTCAGGTAAGATACAGAAATGAGATTGGTTAATATAATCATTTGTACGTCACCCCTGCACTCCATCCAGGTCTGCATTCTTCTAGTGCCCTTTGTTTTTTCCATCAGACCACACAGAGATCCAAAACCTGAAAGCTAGGGCTACAATCAACAACAACTGTTTACATATGTAAACAGGTTTATAAATGAATTATCAGAAACTAAAGTAAGCTGGTTCTGACATCTCACCTGCGTATGAACAGGCTTCAGGAGTGCAACTGAACCCAGAACTTATGTGGATTAGTTCAGAGCAAAACATGTTGGATATTCAAAAGAAACTGAAGTTGTTGATGGGACAGATAGTGGAAGAAAAAAAATTGAAATTAGAGGTAGAAAGGTGGAGTATAAAGAATACAAATTTTAAAATTGGGGTTAATATTGTTAAAATGAACAGTTAAAATTATTTTTATCCACAGTGTTTCCTCCCTCCAAAAATGATTATGACAATACATGGGGCACAAAACATTTTTAATGTATCAAAGCCAAGAGGAAGGAGGCCTGGGAGCACCTGACCTTAGCATCTTGTTGAAAATCTCCTTCATTAAAAACACATCTAATGTCATTAGCAGAGGACCTGTAGATTCTGGGAGATACAGCCCACTGGAACAAATTAACAGGGAGAGGTTGGTCTGATATCCCAGCATATCTGAGGCCCAACAGTGACTTGTCAGTTTCAAATACACATTGATCCAGTATTGATCACAAGCTTTGGTCAGCTTCAGTGGCAACAAACTATCTGCAGATCAATGATGAACCTGTTTGATTCCTCTCAGACCTACTGTGGCACCCCAAAGCGAACCATCCTCCTAGATGACATCAAGGACATAGAGGATGTGGAGGATCTGCAGGACCATCTGGAGATCCACTTTCAGAAGCCCAGCAACTGTGGTGGTGAGATAGAGAGCATAAAGTATATCTCTGGGGGGAATGCTCTGCAGGCCTTTTTCCATGAGGACATGGCAGAGAGAGATGACTAATGAAACAGAAGGAGCCAAAGCACTAGCGGCTACAACGTATGCTGCCCGGCCAAATTAAAGGTCGCAGCTATACAATTAATTGCATGTACTTCAATGCAACACTTCCACCTTAATATCACAATGTTTGTTTTTAGTGAAATTGTCATAAATGTATAAATTCAATTCTATGTTTATTACTGAGGTCTGAGTTAAAAGGTGGTATTGTACTGCACTACATTATATTCAGAGGTGTTCCTAATATTCTGACCCTCTCGTGTGTGTAGACGGGGAGGATAAAAATATACGGACACCTCTGAATATCATGTCACCCAGTACACCACCACCTTTAATATGAATATAATGTCACCCAGTACACCACCACCTTTAACTATGACCTCAATAATAAACATATAACTAAATGTAAACATTTATGACACTTGCACCAAAAGCTGAAACATTCTGAGCTTCATAAACACAGACGTTAAGGCAGAAATGTTGCACTGAAGTGCACACAATTAATTGTACAGGTGCGACCTTTTTTTGGCTGGACAGTGTATAAGCAAAGTAATCTACCTACGATTGTTAGAAAATCATCTGCAGTGAGATTTGGTGATCTAATTTCTGCATGTAAGAGGGTATAAATTTAATCAAATGTTTTCATATTACACAGTGAGGGTGGTGTTTGGATGGTGGCAAATAAAGGCCTTTAGCACACGTATGATGTAACACAGTCAGAATCAAAATGGTAAAATGGTGTCTTTGGTTACTTAAGTTTACACAGTACCTTCACGTCGGTTCTGTCCCCTGCCATAGGTTTAATATGGAATGATTCTTTTACAGTAAAATCCAGTCTTTGTTGTTGAGTCTACAAAATAATGTCATAATGAATATTATAGACAACTTGTTTGCATTTGATCATTTGGACTTGTACAGTAAAAGCTACTTGCTCTCTCTCTGTCTGCATAACCCTGCTAAGACTGCATTCAACCCAACTTTAGTCCTGTGTGAAAAGCCATAAATCAAGTAAACTTGAACATGCAGTGAATCTGCCTCAGAGAGAACAGTTATGAGTTGTTGAATAAAACTGTACCATCTTAAGACTTACAGTAAGAACAGGGAATTCTGCTTGTCTGTCCTGTCAGGTTCAGTTAGAGGGTTTTGTTGTGGAACACTATCCGTGGACCATATTCCACATTATTTTGCAGATCGATGATGGATCTAATGGTTTCAGTCTGCTCAGATAATTTGTATCTTTTATTCTGGAACTGTTTTTGACAGTTGATTGATAAGACTGTCTTTATTAAAAGGATATTTTCTGAAATCTTTTTGTGGATTCTTTTTAAAATCAAGTTGTGCCAGAAAAAGAAAAAAGCCTTTACGGAACCTGTCCCCTATAGAGATTAGGCCCTAGTCATGGCTATAACATTCACCCTGTGACAAATGGCTACTTATTCACATTATTGTCTGTTGTGGCAGAATAACAAAGTCTAACATCTGGTCGTAGTTTGTGTATCACATGATGTGCTGCTGAATTGTTTTCAATGCAACACAGGACACAGATGATTTACACATCACTGTTTTCAGTTTTAACTTTGATTTTACTGTCCCATCTTTTTCTGATTTGGGGTTGTAATACAAACACCAGTAACACTTCTAGTGAGTATAACCAATACACTGGTTGTGAACTTGCCTATACAGTCTATAGGATAGCTAACACTCCAGCCCTGCAGATGTGAGGTCAGTGTGCAGTTTTATTTCTCTTAAAGTAGTTACAACCATTTACCTGCTTTGCCTTAAAACTGAGACAGACTGAAGATTAAGATACAAGTGAGAGTAAAAGGGTGATAAATCTCCTTTACACCAATTTAAAGAAAATATTTTTGATTTTATTTTTAGCTGTCATGACCAAACTACACAAACAGATTTCAATAAACATTAACCCAACCGGTGACTAAAAGAAGTGTGCTATAAATAAGGTAACCTGATGATATAACCAAAGCTTTTGTTCAGATGTACTAAGTGCAGTGCCTTTAATTTATATTTAGCAATATGTGCTGGAAAGATTAAAAACACAGGATTCACTTTATGATTTGAATAAATAACATTGCCACAGTCCAGACAGCTTATGACAGTTTTAATAACAGCCCAGTGTCCCATGTTCAGCTGCCCTGCAGCTTCTTCATTACAGAACTGCTGGGTGGTGCATTGGTGAATATTGTCCCCACAAAAACACGTGTTGCCCAAAGAGCGTGTCGAATCACTCTACAGCAGCCCAGGTCCTCAATCTGGAAGCCCAGGTGACGGTACCTGTCATCTGTCTCAAACAGCGTGTTGTTGGTGTAGGGGCCAAAGAACTAAGGAAGGAACAAACATATTTATCATGTAGTTAGTTCTCTGTTAAGATCTGCATAAAACAGCACTGCTTTTATAAACAAGTTACACAGTGCTCTAAACCTAGCCTTACAATTTGTCAGTGTAACACAAAAAGGCCTGCATGTTCATCTGTGGGACAATGCAACAGGACATTGTGATCTTTAAAGAGGAATTTCATCCAGTCTAATAATCTGTCTGGCCCTGCTGAGTGACAGTACTATGCCGTTTTCACACACTGTGCAGTACTATATAGCATTACTATACTACCTTACAAAGCCAGAGTGCAATAACTACATATTTGATTAAAATTAAGACTCAAATCTGACTTTTTTTAAAAGCACCTTCTACCACATAAAACCAACTTTTTGCCATAGATATGTATAATTTATTTAAAAATTACAAAGACGACTAGTTGAGCAGGACAGCTCATGGCTGATCAGTCAAAGCTAGCTAAAGAGAAACGTGTAATCTGTAACTGAAAATTCTACGTTTTGTTGAACCAACATTTTAGTAATTCAGTGTAAGACAGCAGTTGCTAAATCCTCCTGATGCTCCTGCTAAAGGTAACTAGCACAGCATAGTCGTGTTAACTGCTATATTAGCTTTCAACTCATCCAGAAATCATAAAACTTTTAAATGTTTGAAATTATAGACCAATTTGTTATTGGCTTGAAAAATATAGGAATGTAAAGTACGGAGTAGGGATGGGTACTGAGACCTAGTATAAAACGACCACAGGACTAGGCCGTAGTTCCGATAAGCTCTGACATCATCGGTCCGGCTCTTGACACTGGCGAAATAATGAAGAGATTCTGTGTATATTTTACAGTTTAGTAGTGAACTACGGTACAGTACCTTTGTGGGGGACATTTAGACCCCAACATGCACAGTTTTTTTTTTTTTTTTTTGCTTGTGGTCAGTGTACAGTACAACTAAATGAGGGAGTGGATCTTTATGCAGGCTAATAAAACTATATGTAATGTCAGGGAAGCAGTGACGCCAGCTGGTCTCGCATGCATTCTTTAATTGTTCAGCAAGATTCGAGGTGTTTCACTCTAACAATACCGAGTGTCAATGACAGTGGGATCTTACCGCCAGGCCGGAGGACGGTTCGATAAAGTCGGCCCAGAATCCTTCTTTCTGCAGGGCGTAGCAAATCTCCTTGGCTCCATCAACAAACTGTGCAGCAGAGAAACAGTTATCGTGTGACACGTGCATAAGCTAAGTGATCAAATTCTTCATCCAAGGTATTAGTAGGGGTGGAACAGTTAATAAAATCCATGGTTTGGTTCATATGTTGTGTGGTCACGGTTTCTGATTCTGTTCAGTAGGTGGGGGAAGGGCTGTGCCAATTTCAATATTTGCCAAAAAACAGTTTGACTTAAACTTCTTGACAAGAACATATGAAACAAACACTTCTTTACTGTCAAACACTTCTTGTCAAATCTTAGAAATTTCACCACTGAAAAGTTATTTCATAGAAATCATGTATTTATGTAGTGCAAAGATACAAATACTTCTGAAATTGGTGGTCTGTGTACTGTGTAAGCAGCAGAAAACATCAGATGTGGCTTGGCATAAAATCCTACAACAACCAGAATGCATTGTGCTTAGACCTCTCCCAGACTGCTGCTGTTGAGTGAACCTGTGCAGGTTTGCAGGTAAGTCACTGTACTTCTATTGAAACAACTGGCAAAGTACTAGTTTATTTAAAATCACTAAGTCGGTGTTTATCTGAGCCTACTGTTAATGTAACTGATTTAAATCAATAGTAGAAAATAGTATACAGTATCTTATTTCTACTTGCTACCTTGCAAACATTTCAAATATGTCCACAATTGTCATAGAGTAAGACATTTGTCCTCTAACTTTACTACAAATAGGTCTGCTGGAATGGCTCCAAGCTGAGAGGGACTTTGATAATCGACAGATTAGAACTGAGCTCCATTTTGAGTATTTTCTAATGAGAGCTGGATTGTACAGTGGCTGTCCACATCTTCCTTTGGTCGGCAGTACATGTGCTCCACCTATTGGCGGACAAAGCCAGGTGGTGGTGGTGTGTTTTGACCTTTAAGTAGTTTTGTGTTTATTATTTGAATAAATGCTGACGTTCTATGGCAGCATCACCTTTGCCCCATATGTTGTGTCAGCAGCTCACCTTGTCAAGCATCTGCTCTCTCTCCTGCTCCACCTCATCACACCATGACGACATATCATTCTGCGTCTTTTGGGTCACTGTGAGCACCATCATACCAGAGGACGGGGCCTCAGGAAACATGGAATGGAAACCTGTTTGTTACATTATCAGGAGACACACATCAGACAGAACCACCACTTCTCATCAGCAGTAAGAGCTCCATACTGTATAGTTATCCCTGTTCTAGTCTGGTGGACACAAAGACAGGTACAAACATTTGAATCACAATGTCATTGTACCATGCACATGCAGTGACACTATCACACACCCACACTACCATTTAAATGTTTGGGGTCACCTCCATTTTCCAACTTACTTTGGCATTTAAGCAGTTCAAGAACTGCTGCAACAGGGCTATCTCTTCGAATAACATTTGGTTTCAGCTGTAGAATGCCCCAAGTGTGTCTGGCTGTTGAATTACAACAGGTAACAACTGGAAAAACGGAGATGACCCCAAACTTTTGAACAGCAGTGTATCTGTTAACCAAGGACCACAGGAAGAAAAAAAAAACTACTAACTAGTGCAAACAGAGAATGAAGATGGGTGGGTATTATGGATGTAAATAGCGTGAGGAGTGCTGTACCTTTCTTTAGTAGCTCAGGGCAGGACTGTACGGCGCACTCCACAGCAGAATTATCAAAGTACTGTTCAGCTCTATAGACATTCTGAGACGAGGCTGGGTCATCTTTCTCCTGACATACACAAAACAGCAGTCACAACAGGAAGTGCCTATAACAATGAGGAATACAGCCAGTGCTTCAGAAAATCCTTCCAGTCAGTACAGACTGCTCACAAAAAACTCTTCTTATTTCTTAGGTAACAACCTGTGGCGTCGCCTGGATGACAGCGTCAGGCAGACACAAACACAAAACATGATAGCAGACGCAGATATTGAGGTCCAACGCTACATGATGGAGCCAAATATTGGAAGGCTGGAGGACCCCCTTCAATACTGGGAGAGACAGAAATATGTCTATCCCCATTTATATAAGTTAGCAGTAGCATTCTTGTGTATGCCTGCCTCATCTGTGCCCTGTGAGCGGGTGTTTTCCAAAGCAGGAGAAATATTGTCAAAAAAAAGAAATCGCCTAAGACCTGCCACAGTGGAGAAAATGTTGTTTTTAAATAAAAACCAATGATGTGACAGACAATAAAGGTACCACTTCTCATCAGAATTAATTTGACAGGTGTCACCGCCCCTTAGTCCCGCCTCCCAGCCAATCAGAATAGTTTATCCGGTCCTTAGTCCCACCCCAACCAATCAAAATCGTTCTTCCGGTTCCTGGTCCCACGTGGCCCCCGGGGTACCCTCCCACCCCCCTGCATCTGCTGCTTGAGATAAGGAACTTGTGACGCATCTGCAGCTGAAGATAATGAAGTCGTGGTTAACCGCATCTGAAAAGATTGATTTGATTTGATTAGATTTGATTTATTTATTCTTTCAAGCATGTAAAGACAGTTGATATATCAACACACATAATTTTACACATATCCAACAAATGCTAATCCAATATCAATTTGCTTATACCTAGTACATGCTTGAATGGAGTAGGAAGAAGTCAGACTTATCCAGTCCTACCCCATGACATCATCTTACCATCATTGGTTTGCAAGCAGTATCTCTACAAAATAATTCTATAGACGGTAGCTATTAGTAGGTTTGTTTGCCAGATGTTTAACTGGTGTTGGTGGGGTTGTACTTGTACTTGAAGCTTCACCTTGGACTTCAGTACATAGGCCAGAACAGCTGAGTCTCAGGATTGTAAATGTGTCGGAGAGGAGAGAATGACGAGGACAGACCCAGGCTGCGGGTGAGGTTAACTACGAGAGGTTGGGAGACACAGCAGATTTGGGCTGCTTAGGATCCCAGTAATATTTTTTCCATGCAAACTGATGTAATATAGACTATGTTCAGGTGATTAAATGAGTTTATCAGTTTTCAATCTCTCCATGATTGAATTTTGTGGTGGGGCTACAGTTAGTTTTAGTATATTTGGATTAACTGCATGAGAGATGAGTTCTTTCACCATGTGAAAATGGGCGTTATGACATAAACCCTTATGCGACCTGTGCGCACAGTCAGGTTGGGGGGGCAGGGGGTTAAATGGAAGTATGTGTGGAGGGGGCACGAGCAATTCAATTTAATTTTATTTGTATACCACCAAATCACAACAAAAGTAGTCTCAGGACACATTACAAAGTAAGGTCAAGACCTTACTATGAAGTAGTGATGTCCAATTGACACTATGATACCTGTATCCAATCGCTTCATCATTTGTATCGAGTATTGGTTCATTCATTCAAAGGTTCGGTTTAGTGCCATCTGGTGGTGAAATAGTATGCAGCAGAACAATGTCTGAATTATGTGATGGGTGTAACTAGGCTTTGTGTGAATGATGTGAAAGCGTTTGTAAAGATTGTTTGGCCAGTCGGTCAAGTCTATGGACGTATGTAGTGTAGTAGGTGGGAGAAAGTATGCTTGGGGGAAACGGAGGATGTGCTAGGATGGTAATATGTGTGTATGTAACTAGGACAGGGTGTGAATAAATACAAGGGATGGAGAATAAATCATTTTTTATTCCTAGCTGGCTCCATGGTGATCACACAGCAGCAGCAATGATCATACTGACAGCAACTATGCACACACCTACTACGTCAACAAACCCACATGTTGTGCATCATCTTGGGTGGCTTTATAGTACCCCTACGCCTACGCCCCTGCTGCTCGCGTAGTGACACCATATTGACGGTTTGAAATGGTCATGGGAGTCACTCAGGCCAGCCGTTTCTGCGTCGGACGTAATCAGTTACGTGTCTTTTCAGCAATGATACAAGCCTCGAAGCAGTGGTTCGCGGAAGATCCCTCTCCGAGCTCGAATCATATATCGAGGCCTCAGTGTCAGAAGCCAATGTGGTAGTGTTAAAACCTGCAGTTCCTCAAATGGCCACTTGAGGCTGGCTCCAAAATGGGGTCAGTCCCCATAGATTCCCATGTTAAATTGCAGAAACATTTACAGCCTGGTAGAAAAAATGGTTTTGGTCTCTATAGGTAATTTCCCATAAAAGTGGGCTTCCTTTTTAAGCAGTTTACCTGTTCTTAGAAAAAAGTACACATGTTAATATCATTACACTTACAAAGAAGTCTCCAATAAACTGGGCCAGAATGAACTCGTGTCTATCACTGCTGGCCGGGGTCGACAGCACATCAGGGGCCATCTTATGTGTCGGGCTCTTCTTCTGCTCTGCTAGCCCGCTCAGGTGGCAGTCAAAACCCACATTACCGGGTAGCTGGAAGCGCTGGTCCTGGGGCCCAAAAGGCCCCATGCTCTCATCAGGCCACACTGTTCACATTCATTATCCAAGGAAGCCATTAGCGAAAATACACAATGCATAAAAAATTAAGGTTTCACTTAAAATCCCTACTCTTAAGGGCTTGGACTACATCAAAACCCATGGATCACAGAAAAAGACTGCACAGCTATGTAACCACTTCAGACATATTGTATGTACAACTTTTGTGTTCCTGCTCAAAGAATAGAATAGACTTTGTCATTACACAATCATGTGCAACAAAATTAGTAATTGACTGGCCTTATGTCTATACAGCAAAGTAAACACAGAGGTTCCCTAGTCTATTATATAGATCCATATTTCCCTCACTTGTGTCTTGGGATGTCCTTATTCAACCTGGAAGTTGTACCGTTTGAGTGAGAACATCCCAAAATTCTTACACCTGCTCTGAGAAACAAGGATCAAAGAGCAAGGAGGCTGCAGGAGGAGACATGAGCAAGGACACATAAGCGTATCCTTCACACAAGTCTTTTATGGAAGAAGGCTCTTTTATCGGAAATCAGTTGATTAGACACTTCAGATGAAGCCTCATATCTCTAATAACATGTTTCCTCGATTCCTCTCTCCTCACATTTACTCTTTGTATCTTACGCTCGCGGGACTAAGACACAAGGACAAGGAAATGTGTACCAATATAAGACGGAGGAAGCAGCCAGCTCTACACCAGGCGTCTTATTTTATTTTATTTTTTTTACTTATAATCAGGTTGAGATAATTCATGTTAAAGTGTAAAACAAGAACATGCATGACATACCCATGTCAGGGGAAGTAACAGTTACATGGGGTTCATCAGAGCCCGAAGATCCAGCAGCAGAGAAGGCTCTGGCTCCAGCTCTGGCCACAGCTATGCGATGCACTAACACATGAAGCCCTGGGAGGTAAGTGACCAGCCTGCCTCTACTGCACAGCACCTGAACAGAAACCTTTCATTGTTAGCCTTCCACAGACACACATTCCAACTACATATGGCTTTTAAGTGTTCAAAGTTCAAAGTGTTTTTTTTTTTTTGTCACATGCACAGTTAGAAAACGTGTTTCCCTGTATAATGAAATTCTTACTTTGCCGTCCACATGAATGCCACAAAATATAAATGAAATATAAAGTAGATAAATAAATAACACAAAATCTAAGGCACTTTAAGCAGCGCAGATGCAGCAATATAGTAGAAAAAAAATATACAAAAATATAACAGAAT